TTATTTTCATTATTTACTTTGGAGTTTCCCAGCTGTGAAGTGCAGGAGCTGTGTCCTATTGATTCAAAGACCTGAGTTTTGCATTAAGCAGAGAGGCAGGTAGAGTCAACTATAGGAGTAGACCCCACTGCACAGGCCTGTAGTCATTCCCAGAAGGCTTGCAGCTGACAGTGGGCTGGTGCTGACCCACTTCGAACAGCCCCACACAAAGGCATGCTTTGTTGATTGTAGAGCAGAAGCAGTGTAGGTCCTATAGCCTTGTACAGAGTGGTGGGGGAGGGGAAAAGGGAACTAAGGGTTATGATTGTTAGGAAAATGGGCACTTTTTTGGTGTCTACTTCCCCAGTTCACAACAGCCACTGGTCCATATAGCAGGGGCAGGGACAATAAGAGAAATTGTTTTCCTAACATTATAAAACTCACTGTTAATTTATTGAGAAGTTCCCCCCACAGTTTCCCTCTGCTCTCTGATTTAGAATCTCTCAAAACACCATTTTCTTGTATTTCTTGTATTTGTAGGGAAGAATCAGAGTGATGGTTTATGCATACCATGGTCCTCTCAGGTCTTCAGAAGGTGTTCCTGTCTATAAAATTGACAAATACTGATCACCAGATATTTTCACACAGTGACACTGGGTGGGTTTGCATTACAAACCTTGAAGTAAGTTGTCAAGCACAAACACCTTGCACCCACCACCCAGGGACAAAATATAGATATATATGGGTAGTTATATCCAGACTCGTGTGTGGTTGACTACTTACCTGTGTAAGGTCAGAAAAAGAGCCAGCTTTAGATGAATATATAGGCCAGGTGTGATCAGTTTATCAGTGTGATAATACTTTACATCATATATAAGTGGATGCAGACCTGTGTGTTGTCAACTAATTATAATATTAGTCAGACACACACACAAGTGTGGTCAGAAAAAGTGTATTTATATATAAGTGGATAAGGACCTAAGTATCACTGAATACACACCATTTATGTCATACAGCCCCACATGTGACCAGGGACAGATGCAAGTGTAGTTGGAAACAGACTTATGACTGCTTAGAAATAAACCTATACTTCATCAGTTAAAATCTGTGATCAGATACAGATCTGCATGTGGTCAGATATAAAACTGTGTGTCTTAGCACCCAGACACTTGTGAAAGGAAATAAAGGTCTGTATAGTGTGATGATGTGTGTTGTCCAAAAAAAGACTGATATGGTCAAGTGGAATCACTTCTATGGCTGGAGATACAGAATTTCTGAACAGAAATAGAAAGTCAGATACATACTTGTTTGTCATAAGACAAAGGCCTATATATTATAAGATCCAGACCCTCACAGGGTCATACACAGTGTGTGGCGATGTATAGAATTTGGTTTCAGTCATATTTGATAAAGACCCACATATGATTGGAAACACGCCCATGTATGATTGGGTGTAGAATTATGTATGCTTGGAAATGTACCAGTTTATGGTTTAGCAAAGATCTATGAGTGGTTTAATACAGGTTGAAGTACAGTAAGCAAAAAGAAATCATGTTTGCCAAACACAGACTCATTCAGTCACACCCCGTCCACTACCATTGAGCTGATTCCAATTCATAGGGACTTGGACAGAATGGAACTGAACCCTAGGGTTTACAACACTGTACATCCTTCTGGAAGCAGGCAGCCTCATTTTTCTGCTACAGAGCAGCTGGTGGGTTTAAACCACAGACCCTTCAGTTAGCAGTCCAATTTTTAACCCACAGTATCACCCGGGCTGCTTATCAGCACATATTTGTCTATATATTGTCCTATGAGGAGTTCAATAAATACTCCACAATCATACACACATTTATGATCATACATACACCTTACCTGGACCCAGATGTGGTTAAGACAAGGTCTATGTGTGTTTGGCTATACTGTACCCATGCTTTCGGCTCTGAGGATTGTGCAAGACACAGTCCAACAAGAGACATTGAGTTCAGCCAGATCAGCTCATTAAAAATATGACCCAAATGTACATAAGATAATTTTATTTGTACATTTTAAAAGGGCAACTTCTATGTACATCCTACAGAACTGAAAACAAAGTATTGCTAGATCTTATAAATCAAGCCTTCACAATAGGTCTCTATTTCTGGATGGGAGTCCTAGACATGATAACAAACCACTTTATCAAAATAGGTATTGTAGAACATAAAATTTCATGTTTCATTTTGTAGGAGATTTTAGCCTTTAAAATGATTTTAAGATCTATCAGGATGAACAAAATTTAGACAATATATAACACTTTTTGAAAAAAGGTTAATAATTAGTGCAGGTTATCTTTAACACATTTAATAATAATATTAGATAGTAACAGATAAACAAAAGAAGCAGAAGAAAAAATTTAAATGATGCAGTGATTAAAAGTTTTAGATGTATAAAATGACAGCAACAGAGGTGGTTAGATTATTACTGAAAATTCTAGAATGTACTGGCAGATTATTTTCCTGATTTGGATATTCTGGCAGCACAAACAAAGATTCTGAATATGTTGAAAGCCAATATATTTATAAGTTGTTTATAGAGAGAAAAAGAAAGAACTTAAAACGTGTTAAGTCAATTCCAGGTAATGTAATTCTCCAACAGTGTGTGAAACAAGAAATAAAAAAACTAAAATAATTGTAAAATAGAACATCTGTATATAAAAATGAGGTGGCATAGTGATTAAACGTAGGGCTACTAATTGCTAGATCAGCAGTTTGAAACCACCAGCTGCTCTGTGGGAGAAAGACAACCAGGCTTTCTACTCCTGTACAGAGTTACAGTCTCAGAAACTAACAGGGGCAGTTCTAACCTGTCCTTTAGGGTCACTATGAGTTGGCATAGACTCAGTGGCAGTGAGTATATAAAAACACCCAGAGTTATCATATGCAAAACATAATAAACATTTATAAGAAATATCAAAGAAAAATAAATAAAACCTACTGCCATAGAGCCAATTCTGACTCCGAGTGACCATAAAGGACAGTGTAGAACTATTTCTTAGGTTCAAAGAGATGATAAGGTTTTATCGGAAAGAAAGCTGTGTCTTTCTTCCATAGACAGTATTTAGAACCACTGACGTTTCTGATAATCCACTACTCCACCAGGGCTCCTTACCAAAGAAAACGGGTGCACATATTTAAGATATTTTAAGCAAGTTCATCAAAATATATCAGTGAAAATCCTCAAATCAAGTAAATTTGAGAATTCAAGAATGCACACGATTTAGAGAGATTTGGATTCTATATCCTAGTCACTGTGCAGGAAACACAAAAGAACTTTCCCTGACTTCAGAGGAATTATAAGTATCAGTGAACATCGACAATGAGCTGGGATTTGTACCTCGTCACTTAATAAAACCATACAAATTTGAAAATTGATTAAATGTTCCAAAGTGGAGAATTTAGTTATGTTCATTCAAACCTAATCAAATTACTAATAGTATCTGATGATGAATAGTTATGCTTAAGAAGATTTGAGATGATATGATATAAGATTATTATTAACATAATAATCAAAATTAAAGCCAACTGCATTATGATCAAGTCAATTCTGACTCATATCAGCCCTGTGAAAATGGTTTCAAATGGTTACAAGACTAGACTCTTCATGGGAGAAATGTCAAATATTTCTCCCACAGAGCAGCTAGTAAGCTCAAACCATTGAAATTTGATTATCAGCCAAACACTGAGCCAATTTGCCAGCAGTGCTGCTTTCCATGTAATAGTAGCAGGGATAAAAATGAGGATACAAACTCACATAGACAGTGTGCTTTGCCAGTGAACTAGTACCCGTCCCCCATCACTTTAGACCCTCCAAACAAGGCTATGTAGAGGAACCAGGGACCAGAAGTTTCTCTGACCGCAGTTCCCTACCATGTCAGGGACAGATCTTTTCTTTTAAGCCTGATTCAACAAAAATAGTTACACAAAAATTTTATGAATATTATGAAGGGTTACAAAATTTCACCAAAAATTTTGTAAAATCATATATTCTAATTTCTTTATTGTCTGATCATCAGCATGCCCTTAGTCAGGATCTTGGGAAATAAAAGCAGCACAAATAGCATCTTACTTGACAACAAAACCATACAAAGCAATAGCATTATCAAGTTCTGGTTTTTATATTTGAAGCTCATTGATTTGAATTGGTTAATTTTCCAGAGAAGTCAGGGTCAAAGTCTCTCCTAAATGGCCATGATCTACATTAAGTAGGAAGAAAGGACACTGAAATATAATAAGGACATTGCTTCTTATTGCTAAGTGCCGTTGAGTCAGTTCAGATCCATAGCTATCCTATGTGTAACAGAATGAAACACCACCAGCTCCTGTACTAGCCTTACAATTGTTTAAATGCTGGAGCCCATTGTTGCTAGTCACGTTAGCTTATCTAGGAAGATTAACGGTAATGTTTATGAAAATATAGCAACAACTACCACAAAGCCTTCCCACTTGGGGAGATAATGACAACTGGGAACATACCCAGAACTTATAGATATCGTATCGACAGAACTCAAAATTTACTGTTGACTACCTCTGCCTGGAGTGGGCAGTAAGTAGCATGGATTTAGGCTTCTTTTGAATTGTATTATCCTGACATCTTCAATGGCCAATATTAATGGTGGAAAAGTTTAAATTTATCTGGAGAAGACATTTGAGAATTTTCTACAAAATAATTTCTGCTATTAACTATCACATGTCATCACATACCCTAAATATATAGATTCAATCTATATAAAAATAACTCTTTACTATAAGAAATGAAAACCTTAAGATACATTTTGAACAAGATTTTTCATTGGGAGTATTCCAATAATGTTTTTTTTTCATGAACAATTAAATTTAAGTGAGGAAATATTTTCCACAATTCAATATTACATGAAACTTCACTTGAATTCACTTGATAGCAATACATTTGGGTATTTTGTGTTTCTGGTTCTTTGAAAATGGGAAATTCTTTCTTGAAAGTAGTAGGTGCATCTGTCTGCCATATCATTTTCTTTTTCTGGTCCAAAGCTTCTTCATGGCATTTTTCATCTCTGCATTTCTTAGAGTATAGATTAAGGGGTTCAACATAGGGGTGAAAACAGTATAAAACACTGCCAAATACTTATCAATGGGCAAGGTGGAAGGCGGTCTCACATACACGAAAATGCAGGGGACAAAGAAGAGAACCACCACAGTGATGTGGGAGCCACAGGTAGATAAAGCTTTGTGCTTCCCTTCATGACTAAGAGTCTTCAGGGAGTTCAGAATGACTCCGTAGGAGATGAGTAACAGCATAAAGATGACCACACATATTACCCCATCATTAGCTAACACAGTGAGGCCAATGGCATGGGTGTCAGTACAGGCAAGTCTTAGTAAAGGGTACATGTCACAACCAAAGTGGTCTAGAACATTGGGACCACAGAAGGGAAGGTTATAGACAAAAAGAAGGTGCATTCCTGCATGAACAAACCCTCCAAACCAGGTCAATAGCAGCAGCAAAACACACACCCTTTGGCTCATGATAGTCATGTAATGCAGGGGTTTACAGATAGCCACATAGCGGTCATAGGCCATGACCACCAGAAGTAAAATCTCAGCACCACCAAATAAGTGTTCTATAAAGAGCTGGGTCATGCAAGCTTTGAAAGAAATGGTTTTCTTCTCATAGAGTAAGTCTATAAACATATTTGGAGTAACTGCAGTAGACAAAGCAGCATCCATAAATGATAAGTAGCCAAGAAAGAAGTACATTGGGGCCTCCAGGATAGGACTCATCGCCACAGTCATGACAATGAGGAGGTTGCCCACCATTGTGACAATGTAGATGAGCAAGAACACAACAAATAATATTTTCTGGCCCCGAAGGCTCTGAGTGAGCCCTAAGAAGATGAACTCAGTCACATTATATCTTTGTTCCATATGTTCTTCAGTAGGTCTTTATTTCAGAATTCAGGAAATATTTACCTGTAAATATAATTTTGACTAGTGACATTTTGAAGTCTTCAGATTATTTGTTTACTCATTAAACAAACAGGCATTAAGAACTACTGTGCTATAGCATTGCCCAAGACAATAAGAATATAAACCAAAATCAAACTTGCTGCCATCCAGTTGATTATGATGCATAATGACTCTATGTGTGTTTCCAAGACTGTAACTCTTTATTGGAGTAAAAAGCCTCATCTTCCTCCCTTTTATTGGGCTGGCAATTTTAAACTGAGGCTCTGGCAGTTAGCAAGCCAACCCATACCCACTATACCACCAGGGCTCCTAATTAAGATGACTGATATATGGTCCATAGCCTCAGAGATCTCACTGAATAATGAGAAACAAACCATTAGAAGCATATGTGGGAGAAGTGTAGATTATTTAATAGATGGAGTTACCATACTAATTTTCCATCTGGAATAAAATAAAATAAAATTATAAGAGACTGTTTTGAAAAGTATGTGTAAATTTTATATTATCTTTAAATTCCATTTTACATGAACTTTATGAAGGCTCTTTTTACATACTTGTATATGTATGTATGTATATATATATATATATATGCATGATAGTATATATGGTACATATATAGCATATGCACATCTATTGATTTCAATAACTTACTAGCATAATATTACTTAGGTTCTTGATAGTTACACATTCAAGATCTACAGACCTATACCATTCTCTAATTATTATAATTAGCCATCTATTTTATAATTAACAAACAATGTTACAGCATAGCAAACAATGCTTATAGATCATTTCCACTGAGACTAGATAAGATTTGTAGCAACTGGGCCATTGAAATATATATTAAATAGTTACCCTTGGAATTAGTTTCTAAGAGTGCTGATGTTAGAAAATGGAAATGTATACTGAAATTTTCTAGGATGAAAATATCCAAAAGAGTTTTACAGAATTGTCTATCCTCATATATCATTAACAGAGGATCTCTAATATGGATAATTATCAGGTTCACTGATAATTTTTTGAAAAGACAATGACACTTTCAATGTACTTTGATATAATATAAAGATTGTTGAAGATTCTCACACAAAACAGAAAAAAAATTCTGGGTTACCTGCAAAACAAAACAGTCTTTCAATCCAAGTTTGGGGCTGAGATGTCTTCTCTCTTATCCTAAAAGATAGCAGCTTCATACACTGACACAATCTCTGTAGACACACAGTGTAAGGTTGCCCATCAACCATCACCAAATCAAGATGCATTTCCATGTGTTCAACTTTCCATGCTTCAATGTCTGTCTCATCCCAGAATTTCAGAAAAGTTAGACCTCTTATTAAATTAATGGAACTTTTATTATACACTTCTCTATAGCCAATAGAAGCAGGAATCTAGATTATTAAGAAAAAAATCCAACCATTCTATGGTTGGTATAATGCATCCTAAAACAAGCAAACTTTTAAAAGAACTAGAAGTTTAAGATTTTTTTAAGTGTATTTAGGTAGACTGAGAAATTCGCATTGCTTAGATAAATATTTGGTCATTTCTGTTTTAGAAGTAAAATAACCTTTATATTATTTTGTTTCTCAAACCTATAATTTGGACTGACTTGAGGAGTCATACAGCAGAGTTGAAATTTGGATTGCCAGAAAGATGGAGAACAATTTCATGTCTGTATTTGGTTATGCTTTGGCTCCATCATTTCACTTCCTAAGAATGCCAGCCTTACAGACATCATATAAGCAATCACTTTTTTCAGCAAGGATACAGGTTTGGACATTTTAAATTTGAACTACAATAAGCAATTGTTGAGTCATTTAATTGGTGCATCTGAAAGAGTGACTCTTCTGTAATTAAACTCATTGGGACACTAATCATAATTCTGAGGGAGATTTCATGCCTCCAGAGATGCCACAAAGATAATCACCCACATAGAACAGGACTTAGATGATCAGTTTCATGAGGGGTTTAAAACCCCAAAAGAATAAATTGAGGTCAAATCATCAAAGGGAATCATCCATATTGGACAGAATTTGAATACGCAAAAACTCTTTTGTGCGTGTGTGAAATCATGACCCTCAATATAGAGAATTCTGCTTGATGGGTAAATTTTGGTTATACCTTTGCAGATGATGTGTGAACTCACTCGCAGGATCAAGGATGTTGATTTCAGAACAAATCATTGAAAACTTAATTCAAATGCCTAGGAAGCAGATATCCCCCTTCTTGGAGATTGTATTGTATTCCTTAAAAAGATGTGGTGACATTATAACTCCTATACCCATCAATATGACTTTGGAAATACTATATGAAGATAGGATCAGTTAGGTTAAAAAGAAGTCATACTGGATATGGTGGGTTCTCCTTGTGTGCATTCTTACAACTTAGGAGAAGATACACAGAAACGGAGAGAGGTAAAAGATGTCATCATGCTTATGTTGCAACACAGGAATTCCTGGATCTATCATACACTAAGAAAGAAGAGTAAACATATTTCTGTCACATTTCAGAAGGAACAAATGCAGCCTATAGCCCCCGGAACTGTGAGATAATGCATTTCTGTTTTAAAGTTAGTCACTTTGAAAATTTTTTTTCAGTGTTAGGCAATGAACACTTCACCTTAACAGTAGGGTCTGAGTTTGTCACAGGGAGATATCACATAGAAAAAATATTAAAATCTAAATTGACGATGAAAATTCGGTAAAATTTGAAAGGAGTGATACTGAGAAGGCCACGTCCAGGAAATCCTACACTACTGATCTGTTAACTCCATGGAAGTGTGTTTGTTTGGTTTACATTAGTATTAGATTTTATCTTTTCAAGGAAAGCATTAGTTCCAGATGTTAAATATTACATTCCCAAGATCCTTTGAAAATTGAGGTGGCCTATAAGGTACAAGTCATTAAATGTGACTTTCAAGTAGTGAGATGATTTCAACTGAAACCAAACTCTCCTTGACTCATTCTCCTGGATTCTGTTCTACATCTCAGATCACCTGTCCAAGGACCGACAACCACTCCTTGACCAGGTTCAAAATAGTAGAATGGAACCCAAGAGTGAGAGCTGAGATTCTTCATATACTTTTTTCCCCCAAGAATATTGTGGCTATTCTGAGTCTAGGGCAATTTCACAGAAATTTGAAGATTGAGTCACACATTTTTGTAAGGAAGACTGTTGTAATGTTGAGGAGATTTTATTAAATTTCTAAATTTCTTTGGGCATTATTGACAACTTGAAAATATTGAGTCTTCTGATAGATGAACATGAGAAATTCTTCCATTTATTTGTTGGTGTTAAGTGCGGTTGAGTTTAGTGAGCCTATGTACAAGAGGACAACACTTCCCAGTCCTGTGTCATAACAATTACTTTTATGTTTCCTTTTGGCAGCCAGTGTAGCAAGCCATCACAATGAGTATTGTTCTTTTTTGCTGACATGCTACCAAGTATGTGTCCTATTTCATGAAATTGTCTCTACTGATAACATGTCCAAAGTATATGAGATGAAGTCTCACCATACGCACTTCCAAACCTTCTGGCTGTACATTCTCTAAGACAAATCTATTTGTTCTTCTGGCAGTCCATGGTACTTTTAATTTATCACATAATGTTTATAAGGTTTTTTACGGAGGTTAATAAGATTTTTATGGAGGTTAAGCTCTCAGATTCCTTCTACCTACATGTGACCTTGCTGGTATTTAAAATACTGGAGGCATAATTTCCATCCAAGATCATAGCATCAGGAAAGAGAAGTGACCTTCTGTGTTAGGCAGGGTTCTCCAGAGAAAAGAAATCAGGACACTTAAGAATATATATATATATTTTTTTTTTTGTACAGCAAGAAGGAATATAACAGCTAATTAGTTCATACAGCACTACAGAGGGTTCAGTTCAACTCACTTCTGTGGAACAGTTAATATCCTGGAAGTCCTTCAACTCACATGGGCTGCCAGGTCCAAAGACAAGGAAGCAGACAGCAGAGTCCTCTCTAGGGCAATGCAAGCAGAGTCTGCCCACAGGCAGCAAGCAAGGGTGGGTCATCAACTGGCAGTAGCTTGAGAGCTTATCAAAGCAGTCCTAAATGGGATATCAAACACAAGCAAAACAAGGTAACAGGCTCCATCAGCCTCAAGCTCAAGCAATACGTGCCCTAGCAGCATGGTGAAGCAAGTCTTAAAGGAGTCTCAATCTCTAGCGACACAATGCACAGATTGGCCTGGCCCACAAGTAGTGTAACTCACAGGTTGAGACAGAGAACAAATTACAGCAGCATGCATGCATACTCCAGCACACTTTGATTACTAGAGAGCAAGAGAGAGGGGTGGGCGTGGGGGTGGGGTTTCAGAACCACTTTATCTCTTTGCCCTCCAATTGAAACACAACCTGATTAATCCCACATGATCCTATTTGTCAGGTTGGCACAATAAACCTACCTATCACACTTTTCCCTTTTAATTTAGGCCACCCTCCTTTCTTTAGGTCATCACAGTAACCTGCAGGATAGAGTAGTACTACCCCTGGGTCTCTGAGACTATGACTCTTTATGGGAATACAAAACCTCATCTTTCTTCCTAGGAGAAGTTGATGGTTTCAACCAGCTGACCTGTGGCTACCAGCCCAACCCATAAGCTACCACACCACCGGGGTCTCTTAAATGGTTCCTATGGGTTGGAATTGATTCAGTGGGAGTGAGTTGATTTTGGTGGGGGAAGGGTGGAGTTATTTAACTCATCATTTCTTTAGGTCATCTTAATTTATTTTAGTATTTCCCTACTGTATCCTATATACAAATATTTCTCTTCCTTAGCAGAAGGTATCCCTAAGCATTTTATTCTTGTATATAATATTGTAATAGGGATTGTGTTTCCTCAACTCTCTTCACAGATAATGCTTGAAAACCCAATTTATTTCCATTAGCACCTAAATTGATTGCTTTAAGTTCATCTTTTAACTTTAACCCTTAAATC